GTTTACTGGACGTGAATTAAATATTGAAATATATTTAATTTGAATATGAATTTAATATAATATTTAAAATGAATTAAATATTATGAATAATATATATGAATTAACATTTATTATATTACACTGGCTCTAATTTAAAATATATTTTCCAGAGATCAATTATAATTAAAAAAAAATTATCCAGCAATTTTTTGTTTTGCGGACCATTTGGCGCCCCACTGTGAGTAGCGCCCGGGGCATGATGCCCCCCCTTGCCCACCCCTCACTACGCCACTGCTCAGGGTTGTCATTGATTTAACGTTCTACTAAGCTAAAATGTTAAATCACTTTACATTTATTTTTTGGTGTAAGTGTATTTTATTTTGAAGGCATGTTTAAATACAAGTACAATTAATAAACCTAAATAATTTAAAATATAAACAATCAACGTCCCTCCCGGGGTGCGGTAAAATTATCAAATGTTGACAGTTCCGTGATGATAAAAAGGTTGGAGAACACTGTTATAGGTGACCCAAACATAAATTAATACATTTCATTCATTTTGAGCCATAACAGAAATTTTTATTTTTACACTTGATAGAATTATTTTGTCTTCTAAGCACATAAGAAATAGCTTGTATAAATGTGCAGGAGGAAATGAAACCCTTTGTGATGTGGGTAATGTTATTTTGCTGAAGTAATAAATGACTTAGGTTAGTTTTTTCTCTAATATTATCTGGATACACATAAGAAACATTGTAAATTATTTAAAACAGTTATAAAATTTTCAAACAATATTAAACTATTTTGAATTTTAAAAGTGATTTAAATTCAGAAATAATTTTTTTTTATAGAACACTAAAATTATGACAAGAATATGTGTTACAGAAATTATATTTACAAATCATAAAATATATGGTTTATATTTTTCCACAGAAACACATAGTTATCAAATAAACTAATTTTGATAGAATCTCTCTGAAAAGCATAAGATTTCAAACTGAAAGCCAAACCTGAACTTCTGCTTAAAATACCTTTAATTAAAGCGTGCAGGAAAAGGGGGGGAAACTAGCTTACTAAAGGGATTTAAATAAACTAGTTCTCTCTAAACATCTCTCTAAAAAATATGGTATTCCAAACTGAAAGTCAAACCTATAATTTTTATTAAAATTTTTTAATCGAAGCTTTTTTTGAAAGAAAAAAAACTAGCTTACAAGAAGGATTCAAATAAAATAGTTTTGATATAATCTCTTTGAAAAGTACGGCATTCTAAACCAAAACTCAAAGCTGAAATTTTGTATAAAATAATTTTAACTGAAACTAATTTAAAAAATATTTAAAATAGATACTTAATTTTAAATTTCAGGAAAGAGGAAAAAAAACTGTTAACTATAAAGTGATTCAAATAAACTTATTTTGATAAAATCTCTCTGAAAAGTGTGGTATTCCAAACTAAAAGTCAAACCTTAAATTCGCTTAAAATATTTTTAATAGAAATATCCAAGAAAGGAAACAAAAACTAATTTACCGCAAGTATTACAATAAATTTATTTTAGTAGTATCTCTTTGAAAAATTAGGTATTCTCAACTGAAACCCAAATTAAGAATTTTTCTTTATTTTTAATAGAAGCTTTCACTAAAGGAAGAAAAAAAAATTGTTTATCAGAGGGATTCATTACAACCAATTTTTCTTGAAACAATTGTTGCTCTGATTCATCTTGGATTTAGAAATTACCCATTTACACTTTTTAAGCATTAACTAAGTAGTTGTTTATGAATGAAATTAATTTGTTAATGAAGTTAATTTGCAGATCCTCAACAATGAAGTTCTTTACAACATAATTTTGTTCAAAAATTCCTGTTTCAAAGTAGCTAAGGCGAAGCAATTTGGAGCAACTATAAATATCAATTTATTTCTTGAATCATAAATCAATCCACATTAGGAACCATCTAAATTTCATACTCATACTTTGCTACAGATTACTTGACAAAACAATTTAAAGATATGAAATATAAAATATATTTTATATAAAAAAAAGATACTTAAAAATTGAAACTGTGATATAATTAACATCAGCAGAAAAATTGTAAGGGTGGTCCAAGCGAGCCATAATTACCCCCTTTAATCACAATAAATATGATTTATAGTATTACAATGCAATTTATAACATAAATACATATTTGCACTGGCATTGTGTTTCTAGGAATAGAAAGCTTTGCAACAGTCATATTTAAAAAAAAAACAAAAATAACCATAATTGTAAAAATTTTGATTCTTTTTTTAAAAAAATTTATTCATAGTATTGAAAATTCAAAAAATATGGATTTCATTTGAATCTCATTAATAGCATGACTCTCAAATTCAGTGTTCTCCATATTTCCTAAGGACCGCAAAATAGAGAGACATTCCCAGAAATCAAAACCATAGTAATAAATTATAAAATATGTCTAAACATTTTTAGATGATTATTCAAGCAGGAATATAAAATTCCTCACTTCTACCTAAAACTTTGTGCCTTAGAAGACTTAATTGTACAAATTCAAAAATTTAGGTACATAATAATAATCATAGAAAAATCGCTAAGTTAACTATTCTTATTAAAAAAAAAAAATTTAATAAAACTTTATGTCAAAAATTAAGTGAAGATCGAAACGGACATATGGGGATTCACATTTCTTGGTCCCTGCACCAAGGAAAGCAAAACTATGAATGTGACAAATAAGAGATTGAAAGTACAATTGACATAAAAAGAAAGTATCCATTAAAGTTGAAAAATATATCTAAATATTTATAAGATGACTTTTAACTCAAATGAAAAATTCATCAAAAAGAAAAATTCATCATGCAAAGTTTTTTGTTCAAAACCCCCATAAAGTTTAGCAACATTTCTGACTTTCATAGGACTTAATAGACTATAATATCCAACACAGATGACAATATGAAACTATGTAGCATAGCAACATCCTCACATGTTTAAAATATAGATTGTCATTTGTTTCTTACATCATAGTATATAAAACAAACAATAGAATTAGGAGATAAATCTCAGGCAATGCATGTAGAGTTGTACATATTTCTTTACAAAAATTGTTATAAGCCTACTTTGACAATAGAAAAAGAAATATAATTTTTGCATATTCTGTTTCGTAAAAGAAAGGTTGAAACCATTTATTTCTTATCTGAAAATTCTACTAAAAAAGCACATGTAGACAGAAGTAAAAAAATGTCAGCAAAATTACAGTAAACTTTTACAATGAAAATATTTGTCTGCCTTGAAAATAATTAATTTTCTGCTTTTCATGAGGGTTTAAAACCTTAGTTATGTCTCCACAATTAACAGTAATTGTATCTTTATTAAGAAACAAATTAATTAACCTTTCTAGTTTGAATAAAAAATTAACCAAAATTTTAATTGCGAGTTTACTGACCAAAAGAAATCTTTCTCTTAGTTATGTCTCCACAATTAACAGTAATTGTATTTTTACAAGGAATAAATTAATTAACCTTTCAAGTTTGAAATAAAAATTAACCAAAATTTTAATTGCAAGTTTATTGACCAAAAGAATTATTTAAATAAAAGACTTTAACATCTACACCAATAAATTATTTTGATACAAGATCTGTAGTTACATACCTTACACACTTAGACACTAAATGCATAACAAAAATTTACAGATACCAAAAAACCATGAAATAAATATAAGGAAATAACAACTAACTTTTCAAATTATTAATAAAAAGTTTAATTTTATATCTTTGTTAGACATTTCTTTAAAATTTATTTATATTATGAACATTAAGTATGCTATTAACCTAAGTAAAAATTTACATACACCTAACATCAAAATCATGAAAGATTACCAGCCCAATTAAAAAAAATAAAAATATATATAGTTACCGCAGCGATTGTAAGAAGATCAAATACTTTACAGCAATAACGCCAAGCATTGGCATTCCCATATTTAGTTTGACATTCATCTATTGAAAAAAATAATATTTATGAGAAATATTATTCCTTAAAAATACTAATTTACAGAAAAGAACTGAAAAATAATTTATAAATATGCATTCATTGATATATAATATCAATACTTTGAATAGAATAATTAGTAAAAAGAGGTGCACATATAGAAATTAAATAAAAAATAAAATAAAATAAATAATCTATAACATAATTAATACATCAAGATTAAATATTTTATGCAGTGAATTCAGTGCTTAATAGCTGATATGAGATGAAAGAATAAAATTACATTCAATACTATTTTGAATTATTTTTAAATATTAGTGTTACACCATGCTTGTCTATGAACTAGAAAGAAGAAAAAAAACACTATACATATAAACATACACACATATATATAAACAAAGATCAGTGAAAATAACAAATACCATAATGTACTACTAACAAGTACATAAGAACAACTTTATTGAAAATATTAAAAAAAAAAAAACATCTCTTTTTTTGGTGTCAGCAGCTGTACTACTATGAGCATGACAGTCAACTAAGGTGCCACCAAATGCAAAGAATAATAAGTAGTACTTAATTCCTATTGTTACTCTTAACAAAAACTCAATTGTTTGGATTAGCTATAATATAAAACGCCTTTTTGCACTTTCAATAATTTAATGGATTCAAATAATATACAAATTAATTTTTCTTCTTGGAAAACTAAGCTACTTTTTGTAAATCTTTAAAAAAAAAAAAGCAGTAGAGCCATTATTTTCTTTTGTATGGGATTGGAAAATCAATTTTTACAGTTCATTAGTTGTATAATAAAGGACTTATTTCCGAATATAAATATATTTTGTAGTCTCACTGATGAAAATTTCCAAAATATGCTAACGTTTTCTGCCTCTAGATCAGCCTAAAAAAAAAAACAATCTTACATTTTTCTGGAAAAAAAAGAAAATATTTGAGTAGTAGTATTCGGTTATTAGTGACTATTAAAAAGTATAAATAAAAAAAATTTGGCAATATATTTAAATGTCTGATTATATGATATGGGGTACTATAAAGACCTGTAGTATCTATAATTCATTAAATAAATCATCAATAATCATCAATTAAGTATGATTATTTTGTAAATGAGGCAAAATTTTAATAATAATTATATTAACAGAAAAAGTTAGGCAAATAAAAGTTTAATAAACTCATTTCTACAATAAATATCAATCTATAATTATGAAATCAGTCAGACAAAAAAATCAATCAAAATCACTAGACTTTATACCATAAAATCCATAAACTTGAGTAATCTGACGACTTTCATGGTTCCCACGCAGCAAAGTTATTTTATCAGGCCACCTACACAAAAAAACATTTAATATTTAAACAGTATTAATAAAATAAAATTTCAGATTATTATAAGTCAATTAGATATAAGCATTCAATAAAATGCAAATACTAAAAAAAAAAGGATATTTTAATGCTATCTTTGGTGTTGCAGTTTTAGAAACTATAACATAATTTGAAGCAGTGATACAAAACTAATTTTCTTACCGTAATTTTCACTTAAAATAATTGTTTTAAATTTTAAAACTTTCAACAACAATTTTGGTGTTGAAAGTTTGAAATTTACAAAGAAGTTGAGTCGACTATGCCTTCTTTTTTTTCTCTTCAAACATAGCTTTTAGCAAATCCCTCACCATAACATATACTCCTTGCCATAATTTTTGAAACATTCGCAAGATTTAAGACACAAGTTCTCACTTATTAGATCAGGCTTTGAAACTTATGATTTTCTCTGGATACACTGAATACTTTGATTTGGAAAAAAGTTGAGTCTCCCCTTTTTAAAGACATTAACTTTTAACAAATCCCTCATTTCAAGAAATTCTAGTGGTTATAGTTATAGTTTCTAAAAAGTTTACACAATTTGAGAAACCGATTCTCTTTTATTAGAGCAGATTTTGAATCCAATAACTTTCTTCATTTCTCAGAATTTTATTTATTATTAGAGAAGAAAGGTTTTGAAAGGTAGAGGATGATTTAACAGAAATATTTTTCTACACTATTTGGTGAAGCATATTCTTCCTCCAGAAACACACAATACACATTAATAATCAGTTTCTTGGAGCCCAGGGCCAGATTAGGCTTTGGCCTGGGGCCCCAAATGATTAGGGGCCCCCTTAAAAAAATTTTCTTGAAAATAAATTTAAAAAAGTTAAGAAAAACAATGCTTTTTTTTAAAAAATATCAATTTCAAATACATATTAAAAAAAATTTATTACTGTTTATTTTTATTTTAAATTTGCTTTCTTAAATGAAAAGATATATTAATACTCTTATATTTGAATAAATAAAAAATATACGAGAAAAAAAAATAGAATCTAAGGGCCCCAAAAATTTGAATGGCCTGGGGCCCCGCTTGCGCTTAATCCTTCCCTGTTGGGGCCTTTAGGCCGAGTCTTATTGTTCCACATTTATTGAACGTAGATTAAATTACCTAACTATTCATCTTACAAAGAGAAAAGCAAAACACTTTTACATCATTAGCCAATGAACACAACACATCACATTAAATTTATTGTTTAGATCAATTGCCTGCAAAAGAGAATAAACGAAAACAGAAGAAAAATTAAATTTATCATTTAAATCAATTATCAAGAAAAGAGAATAAGCAGCTGAAGAAGAAAACTCCCCAATACCAAGCAAATATTAACTATGTGCTAGAGCTGATAATAAATAACTGATAATCTATATTATATAAAACGCTAATACGTACGTATGTATGTATGTATCAATAAAACCGATGGTATTTCTTTTCTCGCGCTGGCAACAGTTTTTATTTTTAATTGATAGGATTCGGCGCGCAAGAGCACGTAGTGAGCAACCAGATAACAATAACCAGAGTGAGCATTATCAGGTTGTTCAATTCAGATTCATGCACTAAAAACATGACAATATTTAATTTAAACTCAATTAGGAATTAATTAATTAATTGAAGTGAGAATGCTTTAAAAGGCCGCTGTTGAATTGATATTTTTCTACTGGGATATTTTTCTACTTCTAAACGTCTAAAAAACGTTTAAGTGTTTGTATTGAATGCATTGAATTTTTTTATATTTCGCGTTTATTTATGCATTGAATTTTCACGCTTTAAAATACAGAATATTAGTGAAGCAATATTTGATAATTTATTTTGCTAATATGTTTCTTATTTAGCTAATGTTTTGATTTTTTCACCATGTACAATCTAAATAGCTAATATACTTTTTTAAAAGCCAATAAGAACATTGGTAGAATTCTTCTACATAAGTACAATACTATGTCTTTGATGATAATATATTATGTCTTTGTGCTAGAACATTGTGTTCATTGGCGAGCGAGCGCAGCGAGCCATGGTTCACGGCGTGAACCACATAGGATTGCGTAGCAATTCTCGGGGGTTGGCGAGCATTAGCGAGCAGGTGGCGGAGCCTCCTAGTAATAAATAAATAACTGCTTTGAGCACCTTGTATAATATTTCTATAAATTGCCATTGGGATAACATTAAAAAAGCTTCAAATTTTGTTCAGTTTTATTTGAATTTTCTTAATAAAAATGACACAAAATAGATTTAACATTAACATCATTATTAAACATAGCACAATTCACATCAATATTATCTGTAACTTTCTAAAAGCAAGTTAAAAATTCACAAATTTTAATTAAATTAACTAATTTTTAAAAAAAGTTTAAACCCAACAAATTGTACATCAAAAAATATATACTGTTGGCTCTTTAAGCCTTCAGTTACACTTTTTGAGTTTATGCTAGAGAAAAAAATTACCAATTATTCGCAACAGAAAAACATACATAAAAATACTGATTTTATGCGCAAGAAATTAAACATTCTGTAACCCAAACAATATTCTGGACTGAGAGTCAAAAGGGTTGAAAGGTTTTATTTAAACCAAATAGGATAAGAAGATAAGTGCTTTAAAGAGAAAATGATTTATATTTAAACATCAACAAATAAAGCTTGTTATTATGTGTCAATTTACTGAAAATAAATGAAAAATAAAGAAAATGATTAATTTATTGTTTCTTAAATATTGATACTTATTTCTTAAAAAAAATTTTTTTAATCTTACAGTAAACTGGAGAAGAAGAAGAAAGAAATATTTTAATTCACACAGTTTAACAAATAAATAGAATGCACAATTTCTTTCGAATGTTATTATAAAACAAGTTTCTCAAAATAAAAAAAATCACAGAATTATGATTATTATGGATAGTTTCTTAACTCAAAAAATGCAAAGGAAAATTGTGATTATACTAACACCTACATGTTAAAAATAAAATAAACAAACTAAAGTGAAATGAGTGAACAGTTTATATACATTTGAAACCTAATACTGAATTTTTTTTAAAGAAATTCACAGAAATTATAATAATTTTTTCAAAATAATAAAACTTAAAATACAACAGTTTGAGGAACACCAAAGGACTGATTCATAAACAAAATTTTATCAAGAAAAAGAAACTAAAAAACTTCAAGAAAATACAAAATAAAATAAAAATAGGAACAAAGAACTAGAAGGGAGGAGGGGTGTCATGTACTTATTAATAACTTGCAAAAATGATTTAAAAATACTTTTTGAACTAAATTACCAGATTACACAACATGAAATTGAAGTGTAAATAAAGGATAAATGGATATGATTTTAAGGGATGTTCATACGGAAACTAACAACCACATTTGATTTGTCTGTTGCCTTGGATTAGCTCGAGACTGGATTTGCATAAGATAATTGCATTATACTGGATAATTCTAAGTTTATAATTAATAAGAGGTCACATTTTAAATACAACATTTTAATTCAATGATTTTTATAGAAATTATTAACATTTATTGAATAATATCAATTATTTAATTGAATATTGGAGCAGGTTTTTGGTTAGTTACAAAATTTTTAGTTATGGATTTGCACATAGCAAATATATGAATCTATGTAATTAAGATTTTTATGTCTATATATTAGTTTATTAATTTTAAAACCAAACTAAATCAATGATTTTTTATGGAATTTTAATGCATTTGTTGTTTTTAATCAAATTTTGGAAAAGATTATCTGTTTGTCTTTTTAAAAATCACTATTGTTTTGGATAAATGAATATCTATAATAACAATATATTTAAATTGTTTTGGATCAATAAATATCACTACAAATTTTTTTTCTATTTATTTGATTACAAACAAAATTTAAATAAATACTTTCAGAAACATTAGAATTTCCTGTAATAATTTATTTATATTTAACTTAAAATCATTCCTTGTATTGTCAATGTCAACAATGCAGATATTTTCCTTTTTTTTTTTTAATATTTATATCCAAAAAATTAATCTTGTCATTATTACGACACAATATTTATTCATCAGGGTAAATAATGTTTAACAAATTCTTGTGGTATAACATCGATTTGAATAAAACAAAAAAAATCCACTATAAAGATAGTAGTTAAAAAGATGTATATTAATTAGAATTTCCCAGTAATCAAATGATAAAGAATTTTTCTATAAGTAATTACTATTAGTAATTACTCAAATAAATTAGAATCTGGAATAATATTAAAGAGAGCTCGGAAATAAAAAATTGCAATATATTTAATTTTGTTTCGTTTAATAAATTAATTATGAATAATAATCTAAAAAGAAAATGTTCTTTAATAATATTTTTAATAATAATATTTAAATTGTTAGAGAAAATAGTGTCAGGTTAAGTTAAAAAAGTATTAGATATGGAAATTGTGCATTATTAAATTTTTAACATCCCACAGAAAGCAAAATTTTTTAATAATAATAAAAACTTCAAAGATTTAAATTCATTGACATTTAAACTTTTTTTTAAAAAAAATCTTGATAGCATGTTAAAAACAAATGCAGTTCAAGAATTAATTGAAAATTAAAAATGTAAGAAATTTATGTACAGTACAGAAATTTATGTACATTAATAAAATAAATTTATCTACAGAGAAAATCTGTTATAATTTAGAGCAATTAAAAAAGAAGACAAATCTTTACATATATTATTTAAAATCAAATAAATTATGCAGATTCTTGCTCTTTTAATTCTGGGAAAACAACTGATATTTTTTTTGCATTGACGCAGACCTGCATAACATGGGGGGCCCTGCCAGCACTTAGTTTGTGGCCTACAAAATCTTCATATAAATTTTTTAATTTATTTTATTCTTGTTATAACTTTGTTCTTCAGAATGATATTTGCACATGCATTTTTTTTTTAGTAAACTAACACCATTTATTGTTATTTATTTCTTTTTACTTTTTCGCCCGTGACAAATTTAATTGGCATAAAATGGCCATAACTAATCATGCTTTAGGACTTCTTTTAAAAAATTTAAATTCTATGCTAATTAGTTAACAATAAAATATTATAAATAAATTTTTTTCAATTTAGTATACATTTAAATTTTATACTTAAAACAGAAAATTTACAAAAAATAATTTTGTGTATCTTAATTTTATTTCCATATACAGGTTATTTAATTGTCTGTTAAATAATTGAATGAGAACAGTTTGGGCGATTCCACTGTGAAAGAGAGATTAGAAATAATAATCTTACAGAGATTTTTGATGAATATTGACAAAATTATTTTTATGTATTTACACTTGATACTAAGATATTTCAGATATAGATACATACTAACAAAATATTATTTGACAAATATATTAATTAATTTCATGTATTACATACTACAATGGGAAAAAAGTTTTAAATTGCAGCATAATTTATAAATTACCAATGTAATGAATGACTAAATTAAAATTGTTACTTACTTGGCTTTAAGTGTCAACAATCTAGTTAAGGTTTCAAGGCTGTAATAGCCTCTATCCACAAAGTCACCCTAAAAAAATTTTAAATAATGTATTTTTTTACAGTTAGTAACAATATGCAAGGATTCAAATCGAATGTTGCAAAAAGAAAAACCATCACTATTACCACGTAAGCACTTTAGCGTACAGATAACTGCTAATATATTTTTTCTAAGTTTAATTATTGTATGATATCAAGCAGTGAACTTTTTTAAGCTAACGAATGAACTAAAGGACGAAATTGAAGAATTAAACACAAAATTGAAGAATAAAACACAAATATTTCCCAAGATATGTAAGATTAAGCTTTTTGGAGTTTCCACAACTAAACTTGGATAAAAAGCACATTATTCGAATATTGTATTTGAAAACTAGACAAGATAGCTTGTGACATTTTGATATAAAACATAAATTCCATAAAGTATAAATGCTCTTCCATCAATAAAAGTTTTCTTATGTCTAATTAGATTTCTATACTTTTCTTTTTTTACTAATATTATACTAATACTTTTTGATTTCCTATTTTCTATTTAAAGCTATTTTATTACTCTGTAGATAGTACTAAAGTTGACATTAAAATACAACATTTAAATATTGTAGCCGAATTTTCTCTGGTTTTAAGCTACAAATCTCGTTAGCTCTTTATTTCTGTCAGATGCATAGAGCTAGTGAGTTTAATAGTAGCTAGTTGTTTAAATGTAATAAATACAGATGCAAACATTTTATAACAACAGAAGTGCTTTGGGTTGATAAAAAAATAATAAAAAAGTATTTAAACTTTTTTTTTAAATTTTAGTACTTAGGTCTAAATTTTTATATAAAGTAATCTTTTTTACCGAAAAATAACCAGAATAACTTGTTTTTCACCATATTTTAAGCAATATTTGAGCTGGAAAAAAAATGTTTGTTGAAATGATTTATTTATTTATTTATTTTTTTCTTGTTGGCAAGAACTCTGTCACAGAGCACTTAGAATACAACAGTTTAAATACATATTTAATTTTATCATGAATGAATCAACCCCTAACTATATGAATGACTGTAAGTAGAATTGGAAAGGAAAAAATTAATGTATAATTACAAACATACTTGGCTAGCTTATGCAATAATTAATTTTAAGCCAAAATTGAAAAAGAGAAAAAGACAACAAACAGTATCATATTACCATCAAGGGAAGCAGTGTCAAATGCTTAATGCATGAATAGTTTCTAAAACAAGGGTCAGTTTTTAAGAACTGTTTTATAATGAAGAAAGAGAAACTTAATATACGAAAGTAAATCATATCATAAAATAAAATCTGAACATTTATTCACTTTTTGACCTAGTCTCCATTAACAATGAATCATTTATTAAGTCCTAGTACCAGCTCTTAGATCCTATTATCAAAGAGCTCTGCGGTTTGAATGTTAAACCAGTTAGTAACAGTTTCTTTCAACATGGCATTATTTTCCAAGCACTTTCCACCAATAAATGTTCTAAGTTTTGGAAACAGATAAATGTCTGATGGTGCGAAGTCAGGGCTGTTTGGTAGATGACCCACTACTTCTCATTAATGACAATAGGCTATCTAGATCGTTCTTCATCACGAACACTTGTTCTTCCTTCATTATAAAAGACTACACCACTTACGTATATTTCCATCATTTATTACAGCTTCACCATAAACTTTAACAAGCTGATAGTGAATTTCGACAGAATGACCTTTTTTTTTTGCATTTAAAAACTGAATAACTAAACACATTTCACAATCGGCAGGATTACTGATTGACATTGGGAAAACCGAAGCAGTAGTTATAATAAATACCATACAGCAAACCCAGCAGAGAGGTGAAACGAAATGGTGGCATAGTGAGAGACTTGACAAGACTTGCATAAACACGGTGCAAAATTGTTTCTTACTTTAAAAATTACCCTTGTAGTTAGTAAGATTAACATATAGCTAAACAAGTGGCAAACAACAAAAAAATGAAATCAGAAATTTTAAAAAAATGCATTAAAAAGTTTATAAAAGGAAAGAATAAGCAACTAAAATAAATTCACTTTTTTGAATCTTATAAAGAATATATAAAGTGTTGCAATTGACCCAGAAAATAATAAAACACTCTTAAGCATCAGCAACCAGCAAAATAAAATATTAATAACATTTTATTACTTACAAGAAAAATGTAATTTGTATTAGGTACTTGTCCCCCAGTTCTGAACAGCTCTTCAAGATCGTAAAACTAAAATATAAGGAATTTATGAATATTATAATAACAAATATATCTTTGAAGCAGGCACCGAAGATAAAATATTTAAAGTTGCGCTCTATTTATATAATTTATTATTTATTTCCTATTGAAAGAAATAAAGAAAGCAAAAAATTTTAAGGTAAAATAATAATAAAAAATTTTATTAAAATAAGTTTTAAAAAAAACTGAAAACAAAATAAAATTTAAATAAGATTGAATGATAATATCAGAAAAATGAAACATTAATGTTTGAAACATAATATTCTCTTCTTAAAATATGTTTGAAATTAACAAAATGAAAACGAAAAATAGCTTTTTGCAACGAATTGTCGAGTAAAAAATGTTTTAAAATTAAAGGTTCAAATTTCCATGTTGGGCTGTGTTTTGCTTTCATTTACTGATGGTATAATTGCTCATCAATGAAATATTTTTTTTTCCTTATAAATTGACTTTACTAAAAATTTCATCATTTTTAGATAATTAATTTTTAATAAGAGATTTTGTTAGTTCTAACTTTCTCTGCTTTCCCCATTTATTTGGTCTCAGCAATTTAATCTTTATCTAGAATTTATTTATTGATATTCCTCACTATTTAACACTTATTATTAAATAAACAATCTTTACTCATTATTGGTAATAAACTGAATTAGTTTTAGAGTGTCATAGATGGCAATAAACAATTTTTGTTGTGTAGCATAACATGAATTATATAATTGTAGTGTTTGATTTTTTTCTCAAGTTTGTCTACCATATTAAATTTTTGAACCACTGAATGAATACCTTGGTGGTCCCATTGGACTGCTAAATTTTCATTGCTGGTATGAACCCTAATTATTCCAGAATAATAACTCAATCTGAAACAAATAATTTATAAGCAAATGTTTTAACCTGTCCATGTATATCACCACAAACTGTCACAGGTGTGAATACTGGTTGAATATTTGATTCTTCTAATAAGAGCTCACATACCAAATCACATAATTTCTGAAAAAAATAATATACATCAGAAAATTTATGGCTGAGATAATGTTTTATAGCTTAAAAGATACTTATTAAATTACTAAAATCCCAATTTTAAGCACTAAATCCCATAGTTAAAAAATAAATAAGAAAAATAAGAATCATTGATTGAAAGTAAAAAGGGTAAAAAGGATTAAGTTGTTCTTAAAGAATTTTAGTTAAAACGAATAATGAAATATTTTTAAAAATAACATATTTCTTGTAATTAAATTTCAAAAGTATTTGCAAAACGCCCCTTATTTCCACTAACTAAAGAGCAAACACTTACAATAAAAAATGATTTTTTACAGCAAATATTAATCATTTTCAAAGACAATATATATTAAAAGGCATAAAGAGCTCAAATTATAACAATAAACGAATTTCTTAACAAAATATTAGAAACATTTCAGGTTCAGTAGCAAGCGTCTTTATTGCAATTTAAACTAACATTTTACTTTTCTTTGACATTACTGTAATCCATAAAAACATATTCATAAGTATAAATTCCATTTAAACGCACAAAGCTAAAAAATTAATTTGAAGGAAGGAAAACACAAAATTTCTAATAAAACAACAAAATTATAGTAGCAAACAGTTAGAAGTGGCGAATTCAAAGATCGGAAATAAAAAGAAAAATTTACCTTCAAATCATTCTCGGGTAAATATTTACACTCTTTAGCGATGTCGACCCATTTGTCAACATCAGACATTATTAACTAATTATGAATACTAGCAAAAACTTAATAAATTTGTTCTCTAACATCAAAACATTTCAACCGTTGTTTATTTTTTTGACATTCATAACAAAGTTAGTTCAGCTCAGTTCGTCTTTTTCCATGATATGAGCGAATGCAAATAATTTACAAAATTTTTTTTTTGTAGATATAGTTCTTTTTTTTTGAATTTGTGTGTTGATAAAAAGTAAATTTGATGTAACATATTTAAAATTTATCATCTGGTTTCTTAATATTTTGGAAATTTTTGAGATATTGCATTACTTCCGCATCAGTGGCGCTAGTTGAATTTTCTATTTTCAGTGAATTTATCATTTTATAACATTATTTGAGGTGCGTAAGTTGAAATTTAATTGTAGTTTGATTATTTTTTAATTAAATGTATGTTTTCCATTGTAATTAATTGCTTTTTTCCAAAAAACTATTTCATTGATAGTGCAAAAGCAGTAGAACCTGCACGAGGCAAGGTTCACATTCCCAGAAAGTTACACGTGACTCACACATCTGTGAACTTCACTGCACGGCATAGCTAAATTTGCATCCGTAACTGCACACAGGATGAAGTGTGCCGACGAAACAAACAAGATTTAGTTTCCTGTTTTCGTAGTGAAGTAATATTTTATGTTTATAATTGTATATTAAATTTAAAAAAAAAATATGTCAGAAATTGACAAATGGGAAGTAATGGGGAAGGATAAATATTTGCCTGAAAAGGACCTGAAGGTATAAAAATCCAGGAACTTTTTTTTTTTTAAAAATATATTATAATTTTTTACTATTTTATTTATTTTTAATTTATTGCAAAATTTTTATGTATTGATCTTTCCTAATTCTATCCATTCGCTCTCTTTGCCCAATATTTCGTAATTCAATCTTTTGGCAGACGACAGTAGTCAATATGTCATAACAGGAATCTCAACCCAGCTCCACCATAATGATAGCTACGAGCTAATAATTTGCTTACGTGGTAAGCATTAAATTATTAAGGGCAGTACAGATTACTACTACTCAAGTCGATTTACTAGGAATTGAAAGATGTTATATATTCCTTCAATGGGTGTGTACTTAAATTTCAAATTGAATATTGATTTACTTTAACAGTCCGTCGAAATATCACTTTATCAATTTCGTGACATTCCGATAGTAAAGTGGGTTTTAACTAATGAGGGACTATTAAACGTTATTAAGTTAAAATTTGATTCATTAGCTTAAACATCGATTGAAAGACATTGTATAATTCATAAATAGTTTGTTAAAGAATCGCGATTACTTAATACACTTTCAATATCGGTCTGTAAAGTAATTTACTATTTTTGTTTTGAAATATTTGTTTTTTTGTTGATTCTCGATATAAATTAAAACAAAGTTTTGTTTGTTTGAGGATTCAATAAAAAATTTCTATTTTTCATCACAGGAAATTTGTATTTTAACTAAATCCTCTGGTCTAAGTTAAACCAAAAAATAATTGTTCTTAAAGATTTTTTATCTTATATTGTTAAAATTATGCGCTATCTTTAATATATTTGATTTAATTTAATAATACAAGGTGGATTTCTTAATTTTTTCAATAATTGTATTAAGATCTGATAAAATTAACTAATATTTACTATTATAAAAATGCATGTGGTAAAGTGTTTTCAAATTAAATCAGCTCTTTGATATTTAATTTTATGATTTTCCATATGCTTTCCTTTAGTTTTTTTCCATTATTTTAATTTTTTTATATTTAATTTGTTTTGGAACCAATTATTTAGTTTAATAATGCAAACTTGATATGCTTATTGAGTGAATTTCAGTGAACCTATTAAGTATGCTTCTTAAAACTACTAAGTTCCAATCAACAAAAGTTTCAATTTTTGTTATGTGTTTATAAAATATTTATTACTTTAATTATTTTACCCTGTATCAAATTGTTATGCACAAGTCATACAAGTGTCATTAAACTTTTTAATATAATAAATGTAATGCATTTAAGATTTGTTTCTTAAATATTATAAATTACTTTTGTTATTAAAGTATTTCAGATTTTGTCCTCAATTTATGTTTCACATATTATTGCAAATGGGGTTTTTGATTTAAGTAGAATTTGTGATAAAGTTTTCAATTTATTAAATATTTTTGCTTTTTATAATTAGTAAGTGATATAGATGTTAGTTTGCAACATTATTTTGAAAGAAGAGTTATGCAACATTTCTGTAAGAGAATTATTATGCAATATTATTTTGGTATTTGAATTATTTTACATTATTTATTGCATAGGTCTGGTGTTTGCTATTTGCAAAAGAAAGGGAAAAAAAAGATTCTGAGAATTTTGGGATACTGATATTGATCTTATTTTCTTTTCCTTTTCAGCATTATAATGTATATTGTTGAACTTGAAAATTGTCTTTATATCAGTAGTATCTGCATAAAACAGTGTCCCATAAAATTTATATTATACCTTGCTTTTCTTAATAGTGTGTTATTTCATCTGTAGAAAAATGCTATTTTTAAAATAATGGAAATTTTAGATTAGTCTAACTAATATTTTCTTAATTTCAAACTAAAATATGTTAATTTTTTTTAAACAAAAATAAAAGTTTTCTTTTAAGATGTCTTTTTAACAGAACCCAAGAACACATTTCAGTTTAAGTTTTCTGAGTCTTACTTAAAGAATTAAATTAATTGCTTGTAATCAACTCCTATATTTGGATATTTTTTAATATTTGTTACTGTGTTTAATATTTTTTTAAAAATTAGCTGTAATACTGATTGTAAATTAAAAAGCATATGTAGATCTGTTACAAATTCATTAAATTGGTAGAAATGTTTATTGAATAAATAACATAGGTACTTTATTTTAACATAGGTACTTAACACCTAACCAACTTATTGGGCTGTTACTTCCAAATGTCTACACCTGATATTGTTCATCAGTATGTGCCAGGGCAAAAGTTATGAAAGTTTATATTATGTCATTTGAAAATTTACACAAAAAGACTTGAAATTTTTATACTGATTAGTCTATCTTCTATGTTATCTAGTTACTCTATAGTTAAGTGTCAAACTATATATCATAGAAATGATGTTTTAACTTTATTATTTTAAACAGTTTTTGTTTATTTAAGAGAAGATAATTTCTAAAGTTGATGGTGGGATGAATAGGTAACATTTAATGAATTTCAAATTAGAGTATCAAGAAAAAAAGATTCCTAATCAGTTAAAGTGCATTTTTAACAGGAGCTAAATATATATTTTAGAATGAGTTTTGTCTTATTTATTTTTAAAATATTAAGTGCTTAGTTATTAAATTTCATTCTTGTAACTTACTTTGATATCAGTTACTACATGCTTTGTTATTTTGAAAACATTGTAATAATTTAAATTAAAGTACAAATTTAGATGTGTTTGTTATAAGCATTATATTTTTTGATGAGCTATAAACATAAGCCCCACCCAACTAAATTCATGGTTAATTTTTAATATCAACCTCTGGAATAGTCTGCACTATATACAAGTTATCACCAAAGCTTTTACATTATGTCATTTGAAAATTTCCACACAAAGATCTTTGATTTTTGACATTGACCTATCTATCTTAGTGTTGTCTGTTTACTTAATATAGTTTCTTCATGAAGCAATACCTCATAAAACTGGTATTTTCACTTTATTTTTCTTTAATATTTTTGTTGTTTCATCTTTAGAAGAAGTAATGTGAGAGCAATAAAGTGATGGACATTTTAGATACAACTGAGTGACATTTTATGTGTTTCAAATAAAAATAAGTAATAGTTTCAAAAGAAGAAAAAAAAGGATTCCTTATCAGTTACTGTGTGCTTTTTTTAGATTAGTTAACTATACATTTCAGTTTAAGTTTAAACTCATTGATTATTTGTGAAAGATTAAGTGCTTTATAAACTAATTTTCATTCTTGGAAACTACTTTAATATCAGTTACTACAAATTTAATTGGTTTTTAAAAATGCAAATTGAAATGTTTGTTTAGATACATAATTAATGAATTGGGATAGTTAAGAAAATATTTTAGAATCAAAAGTAACTTTAACACCACTCAACCAAATCCATAATTAACTTTACTTTTACCTTGCAATTATCTAAAAGTATAAAATAGGAACCAAAGCTTATAAAAAATAGTCACCAAAGTTCCTTATGAAATTTTTCTGAGAAGAGAAAAGATTGGGAATTTTGACATTAACTTGTCCTACCTGTGTATCTTAAATAATTCCTATTTACTTTAGTTTCAGCATAAAACTAATATTCTCTCTTTATTTATTTTTTATTCCATCTTTAGAAGGAAGTCCTTTTCAAATTAATGGGTATTTTGGGTATGGCTATGTGGCATTTTTTGAGTTTCAAACTTAAGCATGTTAAAGTTTCAAAACTTACTTTATCAAATTATATTTTAAGGTTAGGCTTATAGGTTCTTTTTCATAAACTGTTACAACATTCAATGTATTCTACTTTCTTTTTTAAAACCTACTTTAATATCCAATACTACACATGTAATGATTTTTTTAATTAACTTTGAAATACTTTATTTAAATTGAAATGCATATTTATATCTATTATGAATTCATGAAACGAAAAAAAAAATGCTCTGTAATTAAATAATGTACTTTAACCTGATCCAATAAATTTCATAATTGGGTGCTTTTAAATGTCAGTCAGAGGAATCTTTTATATTGTGTCGTTTGAAAATTTGTACTTCACTTATCTGTAGTTATCTATTGGTGTCTATTTTTAGTATAACAATTTAAAAACTTTCTTCTCTGCGAAAAGCCTTTATTTAACTTAATGTTCATTATTTTTTGTAAGTCAAAATGATAATAAATAAAAAAAAATAGAGTTAAAAGAATGTCAATAATTGTTTTATATTGTATAGTTTAAAATTTTGTATCTTTTTTTTGTGAATATTTTGTATCTTGTATTTAAAATGAAAAACTAAAAAAGGTAACGAATATTTGTTACTACAATGTCTTAATTGGAGTGTATATTTAAAAGTAAACTGTCAAAGCTTTTAAATTCAGTTGCTTGCAGATTTATACTAGCTTTATTATCAGAAATATTGAACGATATCCCATTTGAAATAATGTCAACTATTTTCTAAATTTAAATTAGTGACACACCTTTTTGTTCAAATTGTACGATCTGTTTTGGAAAAATTTAAATAATTTCAAGCTGGAAAAAAAAAAAATTTTTTTTTAATTTTTGAGTAATCAAGATTATGACACAATAAAAGAACTTGATACTTACAACTACATTTTATGATAAAAAAATTTACTTTACACAAAATACTGGTATGTTTTATCTGCTGCATTTTTTGGTGACTATTTAATAATTTTCACAAATTAGCTTTACTCTTGTCTTGGTTAGGAGAATCGAAATGAATAAACACTCAATTTGAAAAATTCTGAGCCACCTCATAATAGCATTGAAAATAAATTTGCACGACTATTTGAAAGTTCTTTAAAATATGCATGTTGGCTGTTAAATTTTCAAAGCTAAAGTTATTGCTTTTATGGTATCAACAATCACTGAAGTTTCTGTTTTCTAAAGCCCTATCCTTTACAGTCCTTGAATTTGTAATCAATGGTCAGTCAAAGTCATTTTGTAAGGAACACAACTCTCCTAATATTTCTTGAATATGGGTTCAATGGCTGATTGATATAGATATATATATTTATGTATGTTAATGCTCAAATATTCCTTAAAAATAAAATCAAT